ACATTCAAAAAAGTTGTTAATTATGTATGCATCATATCTTAATTACATTTGCTGTTATTATTTAATTCTACTCATACATAACTACACCTGTGCACAAATATGTACATTAGACTGTCTCAATCCCCATTAAAAAAAAAAAAAACGATACTGTGTTTCCATTGGAATTATAAAATCTATTATATTTTAAGACGTCCACCAAAATATTTCGGAAAAATATTAGGATTTATGTAAGCTGGACCGTAAAGATTTTTTTTTTTAAATCCCCTCGAATGAAAAACCGGTTTAAGTTTACAAAATTTGCATAAGAAATATTTTTAAAAAAGTTAAAAACAAAATGTAGCGGAATCGTAATAAGGTGATTTTTGATGCTATTTTTTAACTTTTTTCAAAGATTGGTATCAGAAAAACTTGAATAACTGAACCTAAGCTCTTCCGATTTAGACTTGTGAGGTATCATTGGAAAAGTATTTTCTCACACTTTTTATTTATTTGCTAACAAACTCATTCAAAGGATGAAAGAGAAAGGTAGGATGAACGAACGTCATTTCAAGTTGAATTAAGATGTGTTGGTATTTGAAAAAAAATAAAAATAAAAATTGGCACACGAATGACTTTGGACAGAAATAAAAGTAGTGGGAAAATACCTTTCTACTGAGATCCCATAAGTCTAAATCATAATAGTTTTGGCCCAGTTATTGAAGTTTTTCGTAAATCAATCAAAAAACAGCCACAAAAATCCCATTATTACGATTCCGTTGAAAAGTTTTTCAAATCTGCTCAGCTCACGTAAATCTTAATATTTTTCCGAAATATTTTGGTGAAAGTCTTAAACTATAATAGATTTTATAATTCCGATAGAAACTCAGTACCGATGATTTTTTTTTTNGAAGTTTTTCGTAAATCAATCAAAAAACAGCCACAAAAATCCCATTATTACGATTCCGTTGAAAAGTTTTTCAAATCTGCTCAGCTCACGTAAATCTTAATATTTTTCCGAAATATTTTGGTGAAAGTCTTAAACTATAATAGATTTTATAATTCCGATAGAAACTCAGTACCGATGATTTTTTTTTTGTATGGTGAGTGATGCAGTCTAATGTACATTTGTACAAAAGTACCTTCATATAACGTTCTTTGACAAGGTTGCATTCGTCAGAGAATCTAGGAGTGGTGCAGCATAAATACGAATGGGTATTTACTATCTTGTCAATTTGTATAAAGCAGCAGCAACTTGCTAAAAAATACAGTGGGTTAGGGCCACGAAATTATTATTATTATTATTTTTTTTTCGATATTTCTATAATGATTTTCTGCTTGAAGAATTTGCCATCTTAGCGAAACGAAACAGCTGTAAATGTTTTTTAGACTAAAATTAATGCTTGCGGCTGCTTTGTAAAGGGTAAACACCAGGGTGGTCCAAAAACAGTAAAGTCGGAATTGTAATGCTCTCACCCCCTAGGATTGTTCTATATCGAAAAAAGTATACCCTTATTTTTTATCAAAAAATATTTAGAGGTCGCTCAAAGTTTTCCATGTATTTTTATATGGCAAAAATAAAATTTTTCGTAGAAATGGTATAGCATTCTTGAAAATCAATATCTTTCGACCGGAAAACTCTGGTTCTCTTCAGGAGATTTTCAGTAATAATACCCAATTGTTTATTTAACCATTTTTTAATACGCTTGTTTATTGGTCGATCCATTGCATTTTGCGGGGTTTTTGTGAGTTTTTGGCTGAAGAAGAAAGAAAAATATTGATTTTTAACTATTCTATACCATTACTACGAAAAGTTGTTTTCCTCATATAAAATACATGGAAAGCTTTTTTTCGATATAAAACAATCCTAGGGCGTGAGAAATGCATCAAGCCAAAGCATCAGTATCTTTTATTTTGAAACAATAATTGATGGAAATTTCCGATATGCGAAACCACGGTTAAACGCCGAATTGGAACTTAGTTGCGTAATTAAGGCATTTTCATCAATTATAGTTTAGAAATAAAAGATACTGATGATTTGGCATCATACATTTCTGAGCACATCCATATTCTTTAACTGAAGGTCTATTGGGCGAAAATTTGGTAAAATTTCTAAAGTAGCCATTAGGGTTGTCCTCAGCGTCCTCGCAATGTAAGACTGTATACTTTCGAACGTCTTAAGGCGAGTTTCTGAATTATGTCTAACACACCAGAGTGCCATTAAACAACATTGATCTATCTAAAGTTTGTTTTCTAAAGTCACCCGAAGATATTTCGTGTGAGAATTCCATGCAGAAATGTATTCTTTCCTGCTGAATGCAAAATGCCAAGTGATATCAAAAATTAGAAATGTGCGCGATTTTTTTTTTTTTTTGTTCGAGATTCACTAGGCAGTGCCGACTTCAAAGAGCAAAAAAGCAGTCGAAAGAAAACCAAGGTACGGGAAAAATGTACCTTACAGAGTAGTGGTTTGCCTTTTGTTTAACTGAAAATAGTTACATTTTACAGTGGAGATTCCTAAATGTCGTTCTAAGTATTACTTTAACCTATCTAACACCGAATATTTAGGACAAAAAATAATGCTCCCAAAAAAAATGTTGTTGTCGATAAGTGGCTTGCGGAATGTTTCCGAGTGACCTACAAAGGGACGCTCCTATTGAAATCGGCCGAGCACTACGGGCCACTATAGTAGACATTGTGGATAAGGCTATCGCAGTCTACTCCGCTATCAATCTAAGAAGCACAAAGTTCTCTTTTAACCCGGCGTCTGAGCACTCGGTAATTTTGGGAGATTTCTAGACATATCCCCCCCCCCCCCNGAAACACTTTCACGAATAGGTCCAAGTTCCATGACAGAATTTATAAGAAAACGCCCCAGAGGTTGCCAAGAAGTTTGGTGAAACGCCGGCCAGCAAAGTGAAGAAATTATTTGAAGTGAAACTTCTTTAGCGCCGGTTAGTTGGTTGGGAGTAAAGTGGCAAATTCAACGGAAATTGTACACGGACATGGTACAACGGAAATGGCTGGGGCTGAAACAATTGCTTCTATTTCTACAATTGGGACTATTTTGGGATTCTTGAGACTTATCGATGTAATAATCGATAATTTCAACGGTTTTGATATCGATATTTTTATCGATTTTGCCATCAATATAATAATCGATATTTTTATCATTTTTGTTATCGATACTTATATATCTATTATGTTACAGATTTGGTAATCGATGTTTTTAACGATTTTGTTATAGATGTTATTGGCGTTGTTTGATATAGTTATCGATATTTTTATAGATATTGTTATCGATTTAGTTATCGATTATATATCGATTTTGTTATCTACAGTTTTATCGATTTTGTAGTCGATATTTTTATCGATTTTGCCACCAATATTATTATCGATCTTTCCATCGAAATTTTTTGTAGAATTTGTCATCGATATTTTTATCGGTTTTGTTATCGATATTTTGTTGGATGTACCTATCGATTTTGCTATCGCTAGAGTATAAAGATAAAAATGAAGTGTGGCCCAGGCACACTTACTTGTTTTTCACATAAACCATTTTCCAAGCAATTTACGCATAGCAATAATGATGCCAAATTGTAAGAATTCTACTTTATGATATCATTTGTTTGTCAACTATCGCACGTAACTTCAGTCTACGATTGATCAAAATTAATTATTGGAGTTTCAATATTTTTCGCAATAGAAGCCAATAGGGTAACCAGAGCCTATAACCTCAATGATATTAAATTCAGTATACTAGTCAATAATAGAAGATTTCCCACGGACCGAGTTACCAATACTAACTATTATCCATCCAATTAAACAGTAAACAGATTTGTCGCCGTAATGTTGCATGGTCATGAAAATTTCAAAGACATGGGCAGAGCAATTAAAAATCAGTCAGAAAAGTAGTTTTTCAATGCTTTCCTTACAAATATCCACACAAAAAAGTGACTAACAAAATTTTTAACTACAGCGACTACAACATAACTTTTAAGACTTGTCAGTCAATGCCGAGGTGTTGCACAATTATATGGCTGCCACATGGTCAGACAACAATCGCCACAGGTGTGATAGGTATGTATGTACGTAGTTTGACCTAGAAGCGAACATACATGCGAGTAATTTATGGCAGCCAGCAATAAAATTAAATTCTCAAACTCACGAGTAGAGAAACTTGTTCGGCATTGTGAAGCATACAAAAATGCAGTCGATCATTTTCGTCCGTAGCTGTGTTTTGACCAAAAATATGAATTAGCTAAGAACAATAATTTGCTTAGAAAATTGCACGCCAACTTCGAACAAATAATTATTTAAAAAAAAGGAAAACTGCATTTAATTGAATGAGTAAGTTAGCAGTGAAAACGAGTTTCTAAACGCGCTGCATTTGCTGGCTGTAATGTTGGATGTATGGCTGTTTTTTTTTTATTTTTTTACTTAACTTAATATTTTTTTTTTTTTGTATTTGACTTTTAACTAGCTTCAATTGCATTGTTGGGACCGCATTGGCCTTGCGCTAATCCACATTTAAGAACACGGCGCAAGCGCAGCAACAGCGGCAGCAAAAACCAGCAAAAGACAGCCTCAGCGACAGCCTACAGCCTAGCGGACGACCAGCAACATCGTTCGCAAGCAAGCAACTTCAACGCCATCAAAAGCAACTGTCATATACACCTCCCTCCTCTGCTTTACGCCGCATACTCGCGTTTGCAGCTTAAGTTTTTTGTATTTTTCGGTTTTTTTTCGATTCTGCTAATCGCAGCCACTGACACAGTCATATGGCGCTGCATTGTTGCTTTGTTATTGGTTCTACTTAATTTCGTTTGTTTTATTTTGATTAAAAAAAAAAACAGAATATTTATAAGCCATCCAGTCAATGATACCTTAAGTCTTCTATTCTGGTACACAAAAAGTAGAAAACGCAAAAAAAGCATATCAAAACAAGAAATTTGATTTCACAAAGAAAACAAAAACACATTGCAAAAAACCGAAATTGCTAAAGTACGTTTGAAACAGCGCTAGCTACATACATCCATACATGCATTTGTGATCGTTCAATGCTTTTCAAATACTTACCAATTTACCAATTTAGCAATTTTATTTACACAAATCGCCAACGCAGCGATCAACCGAGCGATCAGAACGTTTTCGGTCAGCGATCGGTGAAGTTCGAATTCGAGTGGAAATTTTATTGAAATATGCGCATTGAAATCGCACTGAAGTCGAGTTGAACTTGGGAGTGCAGTATTCTATGCAACAAAGCGTGACGCGTGACGCGAAGTGCAGTGCCAACGACGTGTGCGACGCAGAGTGATCGTGCAATTTTTTTTAATGCCGCTTGAACTGTTGGCGTTTTACTTCTTTTACTATGCCAGCTATTTGAAATTTTAAATAATTTTCGTGCTTAAGTACTCGCTAGTCGTGAGAAAATCATTAAAATATTTTAGTCAAATTTAGAAAGACATAAAAACAAAGGAATTCGTGTGTAATGAGTTTCAATAATGATGTGCGTTTCAAATGGGTATCATAAAACTTCATATACATATGAAAATATTTAAATAGAAAGGTGAAATAATCAATTTACAGAGATGGGAAAATAAATAGTGATGCAACGTTTTATGAAGTTTAAGCTATCGTTATTTTGGTTATTTAATATGTATTATATTCTAATGAAAATATAGCTAGCTACGCAAACAAAACCATGTAGGTCCGAATTTCCAGGATTGTACAAAAATTAGGAAAAGTCGACAAATTTCCATGAAAATTTCAAACTTTTTAAAAGTATATTCGACAATTAGGGTTGGAACTATACAACTCACAAGTATGATAGTGTCGATACCTTTTTCGCCTTTTCGAGTACCTTTGGCATCGTTAAATATATGTATAACGAGGGCTTATATTTAATACTTTTATTAATAATAATAAGAAGTAATAATTATTCATAAACATTTATTTCTGTTATTCAAACCCATCTCGAACTTAACAGTCATTTCCCATACTATTTAAAAAATTTTAAATCCAGTGGTAAATATTATAGGATGACAGAAATATATTTTTCAATATCAATCAATTTTATAAAAATGGGCAGCGAAACTCCATGCCAGCCTTTTTAATTTTTTTTTTTTGACTTCTTATTCAATTGAGAAATATTACTAAAATTTAATTTAAAAATAAATAAGTAAATATGAAACTTTGTCGAATTTTCACAATTTTTGTACAAAGTTTGAAATTTAGAATTACGATTTTTGTTAAACAGTGAGCTATAGTTTTATAAAAGCAAACACTAAATTTTACATAAACACAAGAAAAATAGCCAAAACTTGTTAAAATGTCGCATCCCTATTTATTTGCCGCACCGCATAACTAACGAAAAGGTCTTACTTTCAATTAAAATTAAAATTTGGTTACAGTTAATCCAACAAACTTCGTTAATTGGGAAAATATCACATTTAATAAAAAAGTCGGAAATTGCAAGAGTCATCCTACACTCATAGCAAGGCTCTTTATGTCAGCATTTCACTGTATAAACAGTTATTTTACCTACTTAAATTATTATTGTTTAAAATGAATATCAAAACAAACAACTAAATCTCGAAAAATTAGTTCCAGAGAAAAACCAAACTAAAATTTCAAAAAAAAAAATTTGCTATCAATGCCCAAAAAAAGCTAAAATTAGCAATTATTTTAGTTTACAAATTATTGGTTTGAAGCGATTTGCTCTTTATTTTTGTGGCTATGAAATTGGCGGTTAGTATAAATCAAGTCAAGTCAAGTTCGAATACAGCTATTTTCTTTATAGCTGCGTTTTTTAATATTACGATTTCTGTTAAGTTTTCTGAAATTTTAAATTTGTACTGTATTTTTAAAAATATGGTAACCGTACTTATGCAGGACACGCAAGTGTGCAGAAGTCGTCGAAACAACTACTCTACTAGATATAATTAGACGCGTAATGTGCGGAGTGCCTTAGCATTCGAGTAGTTTAAAAAACAAAATATGCGCTTTGGATAATAACCAGATTTCCTGTACTCTTTAAATTTTTTTTTTTTATTAACTTTTTTTATAAATTTTTATTATTATTAATCTGAGCACTGACCGTCGTGACGGTGGCGTATACGTAACCTTTTCTTACTGCGTGTATTTACGCATTCCGATATCAACATAAAACTTGAATTTGGAAGCAAATATTTGCTTTTGGATCAGACATATATACATACATCTAGGTATATATATCTTTCGATGGAAAAAGATTTTGATATCCACAAATTATAACGATAAGCCAAACTTTTACTCGGAAATTAAAAAAAAAGCAAAAGGGTAGAATGAAATTTTGAAGTTTAGCATACTAAAAATATTTTTGCGACTAAAGCAGTGTTTGCATTGTTCAACTTTGCGTTCAACAATTGCGTTCAACTCAACGCAGGGTTGCACGAAAAAAAAGTTGAATGGCAAAATGTTGGCTGGCGACCAACTTTGTCGAAGTTGAATGCAAAGTTGAACAATGCAAACACCTTTTTATGGCGATTATTTTGATATTTTTTCATATTTTGATATTTTTAGCCATTCAACTTTCTTTTCGTGCAACCCTGCGCTGAGTTGAACGCAAATGTTGAACGCAAAGCTGAACAATGCAAACACTGCATAACACTGAAAAGAAAAACCATAATAAAACGCCTTGAAATACTACAAAAATTTTAAATGAAGTTTGTGGAAGAGTCAAATGCCTCTAGTCTTAAGGCTTCAGTTCTCATGAAGAATCAAGTCGGTGATTGTTTTATTGCCGAATTCATATGTACATATGTATGATCTCGCACAAGTGTACATATTTTTAGCTACTATTTTTTCTTTCTTCCACTCAGATAATATCAATTTCCCATTGGTAAAATAATTTTTCTTTTTTCAATCTTTTTCTTACAGATCATCATCACTGCCATGGATCGTTTCGTGTGGTTCGTTCTACTTGTTGTAATGTCGCATTTGGTTACCGAATTTACACGCGTCACTGGCTATGCGCGCGGCAACCGTCACGATGTGGTTCTTATAAATGATGTAAGTACATATTTACATAAGTGGTCGTATCATATGTACATATTTATGCACTCAGTGAATTGGTACTGTTATGCATGTAATAATTTATTTCATTAAGCTTGAAGTAAAACTAAAAAACATACATATATAGTACATGGGCATATGAATATTCATTTTCTTATATTATGGAGACACTTATGTACATGCATACTTACTACCCAATATGTAAGTTTCTGATTTGTGTGGTATATATGTAGTAGGTCAAATGGTCTAAAATTTTTCCGAAGTAATTTTTTAGATTGACAAAGACATAAAAGGGGTGGCGCCCATTTCATTTCAACTTGTTTGTATTACATTTTCAATAGCTCTGAAAACGACTTACTGTGGTATTGCCAAACGTCATTTTACACAGCCGTATTAGTTTCGCGGGGATACCAAATTCAGACATCGCGGCATAAATACAATTTCTCCTCGCGCTGTTAAAATCGGTTTTAAAATCGACAAATAGATGGTGTGGGTCGATCCTATTCTCGCGGGGTTTTCCAATGTTTGGCTTATTGTGAATACCTAATCTATGATGGATTTGCCAGGCCGAAAGCTCCACTGATAAGCTTCAATCAGCTCGTTGACGATGGGCTTCAGTCTTTCACACAATACACTCGATAAGACCTTGTACTCTACGTTTAGAAGGCTAGTCCCGCAGTAGTTCCAATTCCGGTCGTTGGAAATGCGTTCTTCTATATTTTTCATAAAAGTTGATGAATGTATTTTATTAACTCCTCGCCGCCGTACTTGAATAGCTCAGCTGGCAGGCTGTCAGCTCCAGCAGATTTGTGGTATTTCAGCAGCGTAATCGCTGTTAGAACCTCGTCATAGTCAGGCGGTGGAGCATCGACTGCATCACTATCGACCGTGGTTTCGGCTTCGTCTTCTCCATAACATCGGTCACTAGGTCGCCATTGTGGTTCTAAGAGGAATTCGTCTTGGTCTTGAAATCTTGGTGAGTCGCCCAACCCTCTCATAAAATTTCGGCATCTCTCTTCTTATTGCGGAAAATACGTCCTGCTTCTCGCTTCAGTTCCCTGTGACGGTCCTACATAACTCGCGTTTCGCCCTATCACAGTCGATCAGCCTCGGTCCGTTGTCGGACGTTTCATTGAAGAGGCTGAGTTTTCCGACGGTGGCCTCGAATGTCTCTTCCTTTCCCAGCTCTTCCATCGGGAAGTGGGCGCAAATAAGAGAGATGTTTAAAAATCTACTTTTGATGCGGATTGTGGCTAGGCGCTCTCTAGCCACAAATCCATCTCCAAATTTACACTTCTTTACATGGCAGCTGAAGTAGACCAAGTACCCAGACATTTTTTGGATGATGGTGATGTCAGATTTTGACCTTACGAGTACATCAACCAGCCGACAGAGGCATCTTCCCCATTAAGGGTCCCGACATTCCAAGTGCATGCTCTCAAATCGTGCAAGCCATGCAACTGTAATTGCATACCCAGAACAACGACTGTACCCCATTGCACCCCAATGGTCTGGTTAGCTAGGAGGCCCAGTAATTGATATTATGCAAGAATGTCTTCAAGATATTACAGCAAATGCGATAGTTTGGAGATGACTGCAAGAAAAAAATGAAGAGACTGATGTTTACGCGGAAACACTCGTCAACATTGCAAGTCATTACAACCTGCACAAAAATAAAATAAGTTTAAGGTATAACATCCAGCTCTCAAGAAAAACAATAGGTATTAAAAGATTTTACATACACTGACGGCAAAAAGTATTGGCACAGCAAATTTTTCATACTATATGCATACATTTTTTTCTAATATTTTTCCGCCAATTTTATATGAATAATATAATTCCAAAACTCCCGAAAATTCAACAAATTTTAATGCAAATTTTCAACTTTTTAATCAGATTTTTTAGAATTTTATTGAGTACGCAGTTTTTAAGCCCATTAAATTATAGCAAAAAATTTCATGTTTGTAGTTAGTCGAAAATCGCATTGCTTTTGAGATTTTTTTTGTTGAAGGTGTTTTGCATTTTTTCCATATAAAGTATTTCCGAAAATTTGTTTTTGTATATAAGAGACGGCGTGAGAAAAAATACAAAAAATCAACGGTAATTCCTAGCTACTTCAAACTTGTACTTTATTATTCTAAAAAATCTGATTGAAAATTAGCTGAATTTTCGTGAGTTTTGCACAAAGTTTGGGAATTATATTTTAATGTTTTTGTTGTATAATGAACCATATTTTTATAAAAAAATGGCTAAAAGATATTAGAAAAAAATTGTTGCATATTACATATTGTGAAAAATTCGCAGTACCAATATTTTTTGCCAGCAGTGTATGTAGATCAGTATGCAGCTATCACAAACATATTTTTTTCTCTACAGAAACGGCCAAGTTCTTTTTCAATTTAAAAATATTTCTTTAGACTTTTCTTAAGTACTAGAAACTGAACATAATTTGTGCATACACCCGAGTGTAATCATTATAGTATCTCTGAAAACTGGCAAAGTCTAATTAGGTTCAACCCCTTTATACTCCCTCAGAATAATTTGAAGGAATATAAAGACACACTTTCAGTGAATCTGCATAATTTATCCCGATCTCGGTGTTTCTCCGAACTACTAATTTGCTTTTTTTTTAGAACAGCTGTTCAAATCGATCCGAACTCTGTTAATTATACCAAATGTAATTAATTAAAATTTTATTAAAAAAAGTTACAACGGAATAAAATTCCAGCAATGGCATCTGCCGTAAACGGTGTCCGCTTAGCACTAAATGATGCTGAAAGACTGTATAAAAACTTACGCATTTATCATTACAATAGCTATTTGAGACCAATAATGAAAGCCACCTCTTACCGCACAAATTTATTAATTACTTGTTCGCTACCTTTCTCACTTTTTTTTAGACGTCCATGCGAACAATGCCTGTGGCAAGTATGATTTTGTATCCGAGCGAAGAATACGGGCTGTATGACCAACAACAAATAGCACAGTACAACAACATCTATCCGAATAAATACAACGGCCAAAACAACCACAATAACTACAACAACTACAACGGCAATCCGAATATGCAGCCAAACTCTCCAAATGCCGAGTCAGCTGCCACCGGATTCCCATTCAGTTTTCGTCCCATCATAGACAGCATCTTCGAGGTAAGCCATCCAGCAGTGAAAGCGGAAATTCAATAAACCACTATTTACAATTGAATAATATTTCGGCGATGACTCCTACCAGCGTCGCCGCCGCACCAAATCATCTGACGCATTTCATTAAATTTCCTTTCTTCTTCTTCTTCTTCTTCTTCTATCCCCGCACAGATTCCAATATCAACGCTGCGCGCTGTCAACAATCTGGTGGCGCGCTTAACTGGCAGCTATCAACACCAGGTGCCTTCACTGACTCCTGGCGTACTGAAATCCACCAACGACAATGAGCATCCGGACACGCTGCAGGCCTTCCGTTCCTTACCAGCAGGCGTTGAGGGCGGCGTGACATCCGTGCAGGCATCGCCACCGGCGACCGTTCGGAATTCGGTAGCCGCAGCGACGGAAAATGATGAGAAGCACAGTAATAATAACAATAAAGGCAACAATCCTGTAGTCAGTAGGCGTAGGTCTTTACTGCGTGAGGTGAACGCGTAAATCGGTGCACTGCTAACTGCCGACCGACCGGCTAGCGAAACAGAATGATAGAAAATAAGAAGAGCAGGGAGCAGCAGGCAGCAAAAGTTGAAACCACGTCGATTTCACGCCTTACGCGCACACACACACACACAAACACAGAGCGCCAATGAGCGCGTCTTCAAGCATTCTTTAACCCAACTAGTTGTGTAGTTCATTTGCACTTCACTTCCTTCCACCCACCGATTCATTTTCATTCATGCATTTTATTATACGCTCATTTGTTTGGTTATAACTACGAGTGCTGTACACGCGAAGTTGTGTGTGTGTGTGTTTAGCAAAGGGTTTTGTTTGTGTTTTAGTTGTTCTTTATGTTCGGCACGATTCAATGTGCGCACATTTGCATAAACTTGTTCTAAAGTTGGCGATTTAACTTTTTTCGCACGTATTTGTTGTTGTTCTTTTGAGTCTTGAGAAACTAAGCCGCGGGAATCGCCTTTCACTGTCGGCTGATCAAAGTTTATTTTGTGTTGTAGTTATTGCAGGCGAACGGTTTATTTTTTTTCATTTTTTTTTTCATTTCCTTCACAAATTAAACACTCACTCGCCTTCATTTCACTTTTGCTTTCTATTCAGTCAGTTCTCTGCACAGCTTTTTCTCATTACTTTTAATTTATTGTATTTCGTCATTTAAGTTAATTGTTAAGCGCACATGACATCTTCGTCTTTCTGCAGATTTGAATGTTTATTTTAACGACTAATTTTTAGGCTAATTTTCTCTTTGTCATTTTCTGTTCATTTTGTTGATGTGATATTACTTTAGTGACTCCGTTAGTAGAATTTAAGTTTAAATGTGTTAATGCTAGACTTAGGGAATAGTTTTTGTAAGACAATAAGTTGGTAAATAAATCATATACATAAATATATGGAAATAAATTCAAATTATTATTAAATATTATTTTTGTGAACTCTATAGAACAAGCGGTGTAAGTAAATTCAGCTTTGAACACTGTGGTTTAAATAGCTCTAAGTTGCAGTGTTTATACGAAAGCAACCTTACTTCCTATTAAAGACACTTGAAAGGCTGATTGGCCTCTATATAGGCATATCTCTAGAAAAATATAATTTCAAAAAATTATTAAAAAAAATCAGAGCAATGTAAAACATCACTATGACTATCAAATTACGATTAGGTATTAAAAATGTACTTTTAAAATTGTATCATTGAATATCCTTGAAATTTTACAATAATTATTTTTCCATTTAAGAATCCCAGGGAGGAACGAGTAGCGGGATGTACTCTAACGAACTCGTGCTAAACCGCTTACCGGACCATTGTAGCGTTTTCCAGCAGGATTAAACGCCATAATGGAGGCGGCTCGGTGGCTTATAACCTCCGCCCCTCCAGGACGGCCTATTGCTAACTATTCTGACAGCCACGCTGCTATCAAATCTCTTAATTCTAACGGAATAACGTCCAAAGTAGCCATAGAGTGCAGGAAGACTCTCAACCTGCAGGCATCGTTATGCTCCTTGACTGTTGTATGGCTCCCTGGATATAGGGACATTCCTGGCAACTGCCTAGCCGACGAGCTGGCAAGGAGGGGGACTGAAATATCTAAAGTCAATTCTGCTCAGAATGCGGGCATACCTCTAACCTCCTGAAAACACAGACTAAAGGCGGAACTCGTTGAGGAGGTAAATATAAGGTGGACCGTGAAAACCACCTGCCATACCACCAGGCATATTTGACCAAATATTAATGTAAAGCGATCCACAGCTCTTAGCCGGCTGGACCGCTCCTCTCTCAGATTTTTAGTCGGGGTAATCACCGGACACTGCCTGATGGGCGCACACGAAAAAAGTTAGGATACCCCATCAACGATTTTTGTCGCAGTTGCAGGGACGAGGAAGAGGTGGACACCATAGAACACTATCTCTGCCATTGTGCCGCCCTGGACAACACAAGTGCACACTTTCTGCATTGTTTAGCCGATTTGAACTCATCGAACGTTCTCGACTTTTTGTGCTATATAAAACGCACTCGGTGGTTCAATTGCCAAGGGAGGGATAGAAACAAATGGCTTCGGCCAGTGGTACCACAACGGGCTTTTCCAGCCCACGTGTGCTCCGCGCTTTATTCGCTTGCTTGTACCTAGAGTTGTTTACTTTTTTTAATTCCACAGAATTTTCTCTTTTTGGTGTCCATATGGTTTTTCTACGTTGGAATGAACTTTTTAAATAATTTTGTGTAGTGGCGGTCAAAAATATGTGAATGGTGTTCCATTTTTAATATTTACAATATTTTTCAAGCTAAAATTTTTTTGATATTTTTTTGTAAAAATATGGTTCATGCTGTAACAAAATAAATCACACTTTCAAACTTCATACAGAACTTAGAAAAATTCCATAAATTTGTATCTAAATTTCGAGCTTTTTAACCAGAATTTTTAGAAATTTTTTGGGTATGCAGCTAACAAGCTTATAAAATTCTAGTAAAATTGATTTTTAATCATTTTTTTTTGTTGAAAACGTTTTGCACTTTTGCTGCGATTTTTTAGCCGCGCCAAACTTGCACTTATCTTAGTGGAACTTTATTAGGTTGTTAACTGCATATCAAAAAAATTTCTCAAAATTCTGGTTAAAAAACTCGAAATTTAGATAAAAATTTGTAGAAATTTTCTAAGTTCTGTGTAAAGTTGGAAAGTGTGATTTATATAGGTTTTGTTAAAGCATGAACCATATTTTTACAAAAAACTATCAAACAAATTTTAGCTTGAAAAATGTTGTAAATATTCAAAATGGAACACCATTCATCCATTTCATTACGTTGGCATAGCTGGTATACGCTCTTCATGTGTAAGAAAACGATCTACCAATGCTCATCAAGGAGCGAAACAGAAATCGTTTTGTTTGCACTATTTTGCTTTGAAAAGGTACTGGATACTGTACAAAATGATTCAAATGACGAATCATTCGTTTGTTTTCGGATTCTGTGCACGCTGCATTCCGCATAAATTGGAAAGTGTGGAAATAAAGTTTAAACTAGATATCAAGGAGAAAGTTTTAAAGGTCTAAATTTTAAGCAATTACACAGGATAACGGAAAAAAAACAATGAAAGGTTATTTTAGCCAGAGCAGGTGTTTAGCAAAGTCGAAAGCTAAATAAAGTTTTTGCTTTTCAATATAACAGTTATACTCGACACCATCACGAAATTAGTTTCTTACTTCGATATTAATTTCGGCATTTTTTTTTTCATCGTCGCGACAGCAATCGATTTAAATCGACAAGATTTAGAGATTTCCGTATTCTGAATCACTTGAGCTTTGAAAAGTTAACCGCAAAATTCCGAAACTATGAGTCCATCTTTTGTAGATAGTTTGGCATGGTTTTTCCTACAAGGTACTACTTCTTAAGCTTATACACTCATATTATATATGTATATGTATGTATGACCATGTGTACATACATTCATACAAACATACATACATGTTTATTCATAGTAATTTAAAAGTTTTCACATTAACTTGATAAAAGCTCTAATTCGAAGAAATTGAGTTAGTTCGTGGAATTGAAACCGCCTATAATCACACTATGACTTTTAAGTATTATACATTTCTGGAATTATTCATTACTTTTGCGCTTACTGTAGTGTATAAAATAGTAAAAGATTATTTATTATTCATAGCATATTTTCAGGCCCTAATTTATTTATTCGCAGCACTCTTCCCACATGAAAGTGCAAACACAATTTAACGATAAAGCGAAAAAGTTTATAATCAAGTTGAATTTATTAATTGTTGTTGGTTTCTATTATAGCAAATTTAATAAAACAGAAAAAAAGCGAATAAGCGCCTGAAAGCTCTTTAGCGCATAAATATGTATGTATGTATTGCGCTTTTATTTATACCCAGCAGCACAGTTTTGTGCGGAAAATCATTAGCGATTGTTCATCTCCATGGAGTTTGTTATTTTCTTTTGTTGTTGTTTGAAATGAAACAAATTGATAGCTTTGACAGAGATGTCAGCTCAGCACTGCGGAAGAACAATTGAAATATATTTTTATTATTATTTGTGGTGCGCTTTGATTAATGAAAGACCTGCCTGTTCGCCAATAAATGTAGCACGACCTAGATCGGTCCGATAAATGGGCAATTTAATTGTGATCGATAGATACTGGTAAGCCTACAAAAGTAAATTTTACATCGCTGAATTTCAATACAATAATTTCCTTTGTAGCTGCTCAGGTAAAGA